ATTATTATTTTTAGTATTTACTACAATCCTCCTCAGTAAACACCGGAGCAAACACACCAGAGAATTCTTAAAACACAATTAATTAGGTGAAGCAATATTAGCAGGTGACACCCAGTTCCCTGAATAAAATGAAGGCTTACATTATATATAGAGAGCTGCCTTTGTCTGGTAGATTTCTTTATTCCTTCATTGTCTGGTAAGTGACACATGGATAAAACTAAAAAAACTGGGGGAATCAGGAGAGATTTTAACGTCCTAGAATTGATTGGCAGAATGGCACTAGTGGTTTTCTAAGAGGGTGGATCAGCACAGGCTCAATGCAAGGACACTGAGAAAACAACTGTCCTCTATGTGCTCTGTTCACACCATACAAGGGTACTGCATAAATATTATTATTATAATACAGGATTTATATAGCGCCAACAGTTTGCGCAGCGCTTTACAATATAAGGAAGACATTACAATCACAATACAATTCAAGACAAGACGGTAAGGAGGGCCCTGCCCCTGAGGGCTTACAATCTAAGAGATAATAGATTTATTATACAGAAAACAAGGTCAAAGCAGCAGGGAACACTCACAGAACTATTGGATAATCACATGTGTACAGAGCTTCAGTCAGCTAGTAATAGAATGTCTCATTCAATGTCAGGTATGTACCAACGTGTCTCCATTAAGTTTTATCAGCTGGTCATACGTACACAAACGAGTAACATAGTAGCACAGTGTTACCATATAGACAGGCAGAGAAGTAACTACAGGTCATGGGGCTCATAGCAAAATTGTGATGGACCCCCATCTAATTGCTTTGTCCTCTGCATCTCACCAGTTGTTTTCAGCATCTCAAATCACAGAGCCTTAGCGTATATCCTAGCCCCCCCCCCACCACACACACACAACTTCTTCCACAGCAAGCAAGTGCTGGAAAGGGTAGTGAATAGTCAGAAAAAAGAACAAACAACAAAGCCGTAGTAGTTAACCTAACCTCTTCTTTTGACCTAACACAATGGTCAGACACTCCGGGGTTGATTTACTAACCTTATAAACACACCACGAACATGTATACACCTCTGTAGTGTGTTCCCTTCCAGCATGATCTATGGGTGGAATCTAAACACCTTTGTAGTGTGTACACACCCAGCAGGTGTGTTGTGCAAAGCCAAGCATGAATTGCAAGGTGATGTTGTGTAAATTAGCTCTATGTTGTGTTGCTTGCGTTGATGAATGCAGGAATGTAAATGCATGAGCTAACCATTTTTGTCTAAACTGTGAAGCAGCATTATATATGCATCATGTGCATGATTTTTCCATATATGGCATTAGCGGAAATATGCTTTTAGAGACTTTTTGGTTGATAAATACGTTTTGCTGTGTAAAAATCACACGCACCTAGTGCGTGTGTGTGTTTAGGTTAGTAAATCACCCCCTCCTACTCACTCTGATGGTAACATACTAGATCTTGTGTTCTCTCACCTACGCACTCCTTGCAACTTTGCCAACACCCCTTTCCCGCTCTCAGACCACAACCTTGTCAGTTTCACCCTCACCCTGTCCCCAACACGGACTCCCCCTAAACGGCACACTGTCACCCAGAGAAACCTCCGCCACCTTGGCCCTTCTCTTCTCTACTCTGCCACTGACTACCTCTATGACAAAATCTCACCCCCTGTCCTGCCCTGACCTGGCTATTTCTGTCTACAACAGCTCGCTCTCATCCTCCCTGGACACCTTGGCTCTCCTCACTACTCGCAGATTTAGAACACGTCCACTACAACCGTGGCAAACTGAAGTAACCAGACATCTAAAAAGACATAGTCGCGCTCTTGAACGACTGTGGCGGAAAACTAGATCTCTGCAAGACTTCAACCTTTATAAAGCGGCCCTCCTAAAATCTAATTCCTTCCTCCGTGCTGCCAAACAAACTTACTTTGTCACTCTCATTAACACGCTCTCATCCAGACCTCGTCAACTCTTTTCTACCTTTAACTCTCTACTATGTCCTCCACCGCCACCGCCCACTAACTAACTCACTGCCCAGGACATTGCCATTAATTTAAAAAACAAAATAGATACAATTCGGGATCAGATCACCACTGTGCAGTAACCTTTCCCTATTCATGTACCAGACCCTCCATCACACTTGTTACTCTCCTCTTTTGACCCTGTCACCACAGAGGAGGTTACAAAGCTTCTCTCTGACACCCACCTCACCACTTGCCCCTAGACCCTGTTCCCTCACCACTACTTCGGTCACCCTCATACTCTATCCTAAATTCTCTTACTCACATTTTCAATCTTTCCCTCTCTACTGGCATCTTTCCCTCCCCTCTAAAGCAAGCCCTGGTCACCCAAATACCCAAAAACCATCAATGGACCCTACCGTCCTTAACAATCTCAGGCCAATCTCCTTACTCTCATTCACCTCCAAACTCCTAGAACGCCTTATCTACAACCGCCTGAGTCGCCACCTTCTCGACCCCTTACAGTCCGGCTTTCGCCCCCTACACTCCACTGAAACCGCCCTTCTCAAACTCACTAATGACTTACTAACAGCTAAAAAACAATGGCCACTACTCCCTACTCTTGCTTTTAGACCTTTCTGCTGCTTTTGACACTCTTGACCACCCGCTGCTCCTCAAAAAACTCCACTCACTTGGCCTACAAGACTCTGCTCTCTCATGGTTCTCCTCTAACCTATCTAAGCGCTCCTTTAGTGTCACCTACAAATCTAACTCCTCCCCTCCTCTTCCTCTTTCTGTAGGGGTCCCCCAAGGCTCTTTCCTTGGACCCCTCCTCTTCTCTATCTACACCTCCTCCCTTGGTCAGTTAATTACCTCACATGGCTTCCAATACCATCTCTATGCCGATGACACTCAAATCTACCTCTCTACTCCGCAACTCTCCCCCTCCGTGTCCTTCCGTGTCACTAATCTGCTAACTGATATATCTGTCTGGATGTCACAACACTTCCTAAAACTCAACATTACAAAAACTGAGCTCATGTTATTTCCTCCCGCCCCCCCCCGTGCACCTTCCCCCAACCTTTCCCTTGAGATTGTTAACACAACTATCCAGCCCTCCCCCCATGCCAAGGTGCTAGGTGTCATCCTTGACTCGGACCACGTTCAATCACTATCCAAATCCTGCCGCCTTCACCTTCCTAACATCTGTAAAATACGCCCCTTCCTCACTAAGGAAACTGCAAAATTACTCATCCACTCGCTTGTTATCACTTGACTATTGCAACTCCCTCCTCATTGGCCTTCCACTACACAGGCTCCTCCCCCCTTCAGTCTATCATGAATGCTGCTGCTAGACTAATTCACCTAACCAACCGCTCAGTGTCTGCAACCCCCCTCTGCACTGGCTTCCATCCCCTACCCCTCTCTCCCCCCGCCAATCCCTACACTGGCTTCCAATAGCGCAAAGGATTAAATTCAAAATATTAACAGTTACTTACAAAGCCATCCACAACTCCGCCCCCGGATATATCTCAGACCTTGTCTCAAAGTATCATCCTAACCGTCCCCTCCGCTCTTCCAAAGACCTCCTGCTTTCCAGCTCCCTTGTCAACTCCTCCCATGCTAACCTCCAGGACTTCTCTAGAGTCTCTCCCATCCTATGGAACTCTCTGCCCCAACCTGTCCGTCTATCTCCCACCCTGACTGCCTGTAGGCGATCCCTTAAGACTCATCTCTTCAGGGAAGCCTATCCCACCTCAACCTAACCACTCAACCATCACGTTCTCAAACAATTCATCCCCACGCAGCTACCTCCTCATGTATCACTTGTCCCTCCCTTTTAGACTGTAAGCCCTCAGGGGCAGGGCCCTCCTTACCATCTTGTCTTGAATTGTAAAGCGCGGCACAAACTGTTGGCGCTCTATAAATCCTGTATAATAATAATAGTAATAATGATGACCATTGCAATGTGTTACATCATAAGATCATTGTTAGTGCTTCTGAACATAGTGATTGTACAGTATAACCCTCATACAAACTGAATTAAACTGAGTTTTTTAGCTGCGATTAGCTGGGATTTTTACAGTCTGAGGAAGACTGCGTGCAGGGCTAATTTCGGTGCTGGCCGGGATTACCAGAAGCTCCGAGGGCAATAAATCTACATTACTAAGACAGTTAAAAAGCCAGGATAACCATACAGGTTATGGTGAGGAAGGACTAAGGGAATAAAAAAAGCCAGAATAAGTGCACAGCACAGAAACGCCTCCTTAAATCAGTTGGAACTCACAAGTCCTATTCCATCACATATCCCAAAAATAGGAGGAGTATTTCTAATTTCAGGACAGTGGGCGGAGCCATGGAAATCATTGCTTTCTGCCCCATCAGCCATAACCAATGGTGTATAGGGCAGTGTAGCCCAATTTATAGAATCTTATCTTATTTTGGGGATTTGTTATAGAATGAGATATGTAAATACCTTCTGTTCCAAGAAGGCTTTACTGTGCTAAGCCTGCAAAGGGGCAATGACTGAGAAGTCTCCTGTACATCTGACATATCCTCTTCTGGAAATGGAATGTCACGGGGGGCATATGGTCAATGTCAGCAGCAACCCGCAATAATAAATTGATGTGTTATCTCCACAGATTTTTTTATGTTTAAATTACCTCAATGACCACCGTAATGGGGCCCCCTTCCAACTCCGGGCCCCATAGCAGTTGTTTGGCTTGATATGGCTTTTATGCCACTGTACACAGTGAAAAGAGCACCTGCACCTTAGCACATACATATTTCAAATGTGTTTCATTACTTAGAGTTTATGCTTAAAAGAATAAGACATCCTAAAAAGTTCAAATATATTAAATAGCAAGATAGCAAGACTTCAGCATAGAAGCTGAACGCTGGTTACCTTACAGAACAACCTGGGAATCAGGTGCCCCCAGACACTCTGTTGGATATCAGAGCTTTGAAGTGTCTTCTGTTAGGATTGACGTGAAGTTTACTTCATGTTTCTGGACCACACCGTACTGCAACAGGAGTGACATGTGGATACATTTCCCAAAGAAATTGATTCTGGATAATAGAATCTATGTGATGGAAACAGTTAATCTAACCTCCGGTTTTATTCTTCTGGCCTTTGTAGACCTTGATTACAACCATGCAGCTTTCTTTTCCACCATTCTGGTCATATACCTCCTCACATGGACTGCTAACTTACTTTTACTGAGTTCTATTAAACTTTCTCCACAGTTGCACATACCTATGTACTTTTTCTTAGGAAACCTGTCAGTGGTGGACATCTCTTTCTCTACAGTGACGGTTCCCAAGTTACTGTCCTGCATTCTTCATAGAGGAACCTCCATTTCCTTCCTTGGCTGTTTCCTGCAGGTGTATTTCTTTGTGTTTCTGGGCACCAATGAGAGTTTTCTTTTGTCAGTCATGGCCTTTGATCGATATTTGGCTGTTTGTATCCCTTTACGCTACATATCAATAATGAATGGTAAGGTTATGGTCATGCTGAGCATTAGTTGCTGGGTGGCCTCATCTCTGCATTCATTATTGCACACTTATACTCTGTCACAATTAAAATACTGCGATGACAGACTAATCCACCACTTTTTCTGTGATGTGACATCACTCATCAAGCTGTCCTGCTCAAGTACTACACTAGCTGAGCTCCTTATGTACACAGAAAGTTCTGTGCTTATTGTTCTTCCTTTCCTTTTGATACTCATTTCCTATATGCTTATTGCTTTGGCTATAGCGAAAATGAAGAACAGCAGTAATCGAAGCAAAGCCTTTTCTTCCTGTTCCTCTCATCTCATGGTCATTTGCTTGTTCTATGGCACAATAAGTTTCATTTACATCCGTCCTTCATCAAGTTACTCCTCCCAGTATGACCACATTGTTAGCATGGCTTACACCATTATTACTCCAATGCTGAATGCTTTTATTTACAGTCTAAGGAACCAAGATGTGAAACAGGGTGCAAAGAAACTCATCATGCAATGCTTTTCTTCCAGCTGAGCTAATAAACTATCTGCTCATGTCCTCTGATACTGAGGGGGATTTGTATCCATTACACATTGTCAATTATTATCCAACAAGTTTATTTTATTGAGTAGTATGTTGAATTTAGCATTCTTTGTTACATATGTAAAATGTCTTCTGTAATCCAAGACCAATGCCATCTGCCCATATAAACTTCTTCCATAACATTATGCTGGACCATCTACATCTCATATTTTCCAACTATACTTCTAACCACTAAAGCTCTCCCATAGCGATTTGTTCTGGAACGGACACCTCAGAGCTACCATCTGGACCATAACATCTCTTTTCCAGACAAGTGCCTTACAAACTACAAATTTATTTCGCAAAACATCTCTCCAGCCAAAGTTCTCTAACCATAATTGACTACACAATGAACACTCAGGCTACTCAGACTGAAACATCTTTCACCAACTTCTGCCATCACAATATCCTCCACAACTGGCATCTTAGACAGCCAAACTTTGCCTTTCATTACTTCTTGAAGAACTGACATATGAGGCTTACCACCTAGACAGGAATTTTCTCTACAGTTCTGACATAAAGTGGTGAGCACCAGGAGGCATTGTCACACCTCAATGTATAATGTTATGTCATAATGTCAATTGTTGATTTAGGGTGTGATGTAATCTATTTTCTCTGTTAGACTATACATGCGATTCTGATGCCTCCAGCTATGTCTGTACTTTGCCATGTTTCCAACCCTGGAGCAAGATGGTTGCTTCCACTAGATCCTCTATATCCTTGGTTCTCAACTGGTGGGATGTGACCCAAAATTGGGTGGCGACCCTGTATTCAGTGGTTCGCAACACTGTGTTCAGTGGGTCGCTGCATGCCTTCCACTATTCTAGGTGAGAGGCTCTTCAGCCTCCCCCTAGTGCAGCACTGTCAGCTCTTGCACCAATCAGCCATTCAAAATATGCTGCTCGAGTGTCAGCTTGAGGTGGAGTGGGCTGGGGTCATGGCCACAAGGGAGCTCCATCCATACCTGCATTGCTTACAATGCCCTGTGGAGTACACCTGTAGAGGTGCCTGGCCTGGAGAGACTCCAGTTCTTGCAAGGTAGGGAGACTGGGTGGACTTTAAAAATAAGTGGAGTGTGTGTGTATGTGTGTGTATGTGTGTGAGAATGTTTGTGAGTGTGTGAGAATTTGTCTGTGGTTGTGTATGTGTGTTTTTGAGGACCCATTCACACTAGTACAGTACGGTAATCGCATTGTGTTAACACACTGTACTATGCAATTGCACCTACCGTGCATTCTGGTGTGGGAGGTGTGTTGCGTTGCCATTCACTTGAATGGTACCACAAACACACCTCCCGCCCACAGTTTGTACGCCTCCACCGAAATGTGTGGTACCCTCATGCCGTGAGTTCCATTGCAGTGGGACTTGGGTCACGACCTAATGACCGAGGACAAATGTGGGTCCTGAGGTTACACATGGTGAGAACCACTGCTCTATATCCTGTCCTTCCAGAATGTATGATGGGTGTTCTCAACTTTATTTACAGTATGTTGAGTAATGTATCCCTCTAGCTCCATACTTGGAGATATGGAGGAGTACAGGATGTACACTTGGAAGTACAGAGGAGCACAGGATGTACACTTGGAGATATGGAGGAGCACAGGAGGCACACTTGGAGATATGGAGGAGCACAGGATGTACACTTCGAGATATGGAGGAGCACAAGGATACACTTGGAGATACAGAGGAGCACAGGAGGTACACTTGGAGATATGGAGGAGCGCAAGGGTACAATTGGAGATACAGAGGAGCACAGGAGGTACACTTGGAGATATGGAGGAGCACAAGGGTACAATTGGAGATACAGAGGAGCACAAGAGGTACACTTGGAGATATGGAGGAGCACCGGGGTACACTTGGAGATATGGAGGTGCATAGAGCCATACTAGGGGCACAGGGGTACCCTTGGAGATACAGAGGAGGTTCTTCAGTGGCTCTCCTGGCTGTCTCTCCTCTCTCTCTCCTGGCTATGATACTGTTTATAACATTAATTTCAAAGCTTCAAATATAATGTGTTATGTCACTTGTCGTTTTAGAGAGAGGCCTGGAACATAACTCCCTCACTTCCAAACTAGAAAGTGGGGGGGAGGGTATAAAAATAAAATTACTTAGACATAGACAATTTAATCATAGGTAAAAATAACACAGAAAGTAGTAAAAAATGAGTTAATAATAGTGGGCTCATTCCAGTCAATATAGGAAATCCGTTGGCACATGTAAGTATAACTAGCAACGGACGACCGAAATCAAGGCAGAATAATAACAATAAAAATAGTGGGGAACAACAAGGTAGTAAACTTTTGTCCCACAAAAAGAGAGGAATTAAATGTATGTACACCAACGCTAGAAGTCTGGCAAATAAAATAGAGGAGCTTGAAATTAGGCTAATTGAAGAGGACTTCGACATAGTGGGAAACAAGTTTATTTTATTGAGTAGTATGTTGAATTTAGCATTCTTTGTTACATATGTAAAATGTCTTCTGTAATCCAAGACCAATGCCATCTGCCCATATAAACTTCTTCCATAACATTATGCTGGACCATCTACATCTCATATTTTCCAACTATACTTCTAACCACTAAAGCTCTCCCATAGCGATGTGTTCTGGAACGGACACCTCAGAGCTACCATCTGGACCATAACATCTCTTTTCCAGACAAGTGCCTTACAAACTACAAATTTATTTCGCAAAACATCTCTCCAGCCAAAGTTCTCTAACCATAATTGACTACACAATGAACACTCAGGCTACTCAGACTGAAACATCTTTCACCAACTTCTGCCATCACAATATCCTCCACAACTGGCATCTTAGACAGCCAAACTTTGCCTTTCATTACTTCTTGAAGAACTGACATATGAGGCTTACCACCTAGACAGGAATTTTCTCTACAGTTCTGACATAAAGTGGTGAGCACCAGGAGGCATTGTCACACCTCAATGTATAATGTTATGTCATAATGTCAATTGTTGATTTAGGGTGTGATGTAATCTATTTTCTCTGTTAGACTATACATGCGATTCTGATGCCTCCAGCTATGTCTGTACTTTGCCATGTTTCCAACCCTGGAGCAAGATGGTTGCTTCCACTAGATCCTCTATATCCTTGGTTCTCAACTGGTGGGATGTGACCCAAAATTGGGTGGCGACCCTGTATTCAGTGGTTCGCAACACTGTGTTCAGTGGGTCGCTGCATGCCTTCCACTATTCTAGGTGAGAGGCTCTTCAGCCTCCCCCTAGTGCAGCACTGTCAGCTCTTGCACCAATCAGCCATTCAAAATATGCTGCTCGAGTGTCAGCTTGAGGTGGAGTGGGCTGGGGGCATGGCCACAAGGGAGCTCCATCCATACCTGCATTGCTTACAATGCCCTGTGGAGTACACCTGTAGAGGTGCCTGGCCTGGAGAGACTCCAGTTCTTGCAAGGTAGGGAGACTGGGTGGACTTTAAAAATAAGTGGAGTGTGTGTGTATGTGTGTGTATGTGTGTGAGAATGTTTGTGAGTGTGTGAGAATTTGTCTGTGGTTGTGTATGTGTGTTTTTGAGGACCCGTTCACACTAGTACAGTACGGTAATCGCATTGTGTTAACACACTGTACTATGCAATTGCACCTACCGTGCATTCTGGTGTGGGAGGTGTGTTGCGTTGCCATTCACTTGAATGGTACCACAAACACACCTCCCGCCCACAGTTTGTACGCCTCCACCGAAATGTGTGGTACCCTCATGCCGTGAGTTCCATTGCAGTGGGACTTGGGTCACGACCTAATGACCGAGGACAAATGTGGGTCCTGAGGTTACACATGGTGAGAACCACTGCTCTATATCCTGTCCTTCCAGAATGTATGATGGGTGTTCTCAACTTTATTTACAGTATGTTGAGTAATGTATCCCTCTAGCTCCATACTTGGAGATATGGAGGAGTACAGGATGTACACTTGGAAGTACAGAGGAGCACAGGATGTACACTTGGAGATATGGAGGAGCACAGGAGGCACACTTGGAGATATGGAGGAGCACAGGATGTACACTTCGAGATATGGAGGAGCACAAGGATACACTTGGAGATACAGAGGAGCACAGGAGGTACACTTGGAGATATGGAGGAGCGCAAGGGTACAATTGGAGATACAGAGGAGCACAGGAGGTACACTTGGAGATATGGAGGAGCACAAGGGTACAATTGGAGATACAGAGGAGCACAAGAGGTACACTTGGAGATATGGAGGAGCACCGGGGTACACTTGGAGATATGGAGGTGCATAGAGCCATACTAGGGGCACAGGGGTACCCTTGGAGATACAGAGGAGGTTCTTCAGTGGCTCTCCTGGCTGTCTCTCCTCTCTCTCTCCTGGCTATGATACTGTTTATAACATTAATTTCAAAGCTTCAAATATAATGTGTTATGTCACTTGTCGTTTTAGAGAGAGGCCTGGAACATAACTCCCTCACTTCCAAACTAGAAAGTGGGGGGGAGGGTATAAAAATAAAATTACTTAGACATAGACAATTTAATCATAGGTAAAAATAACACAGAAAGTAGTAAAAAATGAGTTAATAATAGTGGGCTCATTCCAGTCAATATAGGAAATCCGTTGGCACATGTAAGTATAACTAGCAACGGACGACCGAAAATCCCATTGACTTACATTATATACTGGTGACTTTGACACTGTATATGCTATTCAAGCATATAGATCTATTGATCTATCTATATACTGTATATCCTTGTTTGTTTTTATGTGTTCCAGATTGGGGGTGGGGGAGGTTGCTAACATCTTTTACCCATATTAATGGATAACAATAGAGAAAGAATGGTGAACAGATTCCTAGTAATTCTGCATCAGGCAATGTAAATCATATGACAGGTAGAATATATTATTATTTTTAGTATTTACTACAATCCTCCTCAGTAAACACCGGAGCAAACACACCAGAGAATTCTTAAAACAC